GCAGTAGGCCGTGGGTGTGAGACCACCTCCCATCCATCAATCAATCAATCAATCAATCAATCAATCAATCAAAAAAAGAAATCAATCAATCAATCAATCTATCATTAATCAATCAATCATTAATCAATCAATCAATCAATCAATCATCAATCAATCAATCAATCAATCAATCCTTTCTTTTTTTTTTCCGAAACCCCAGCACCCCCCCCCACCCACACCCAACCCCCAAACAAACAATTTTTTTTTCTTGTATTTTACTTGGGGGGGGTAGCCCCCGGCATGCACCCCTCCCCGCCCACCGCCCACCACCCCCTCATGTGTCAGAAACCCCCTGGGAAGGCCGCCAAAACAGCTCGTATGGCTGCCTGTGGGCCCGTACATACGGCCGTATGGGCCGTACGGACGCCCCGTATTTGTACGGGGTGTCACACAGACGCACAGACCTACAAAAAAAAAAAAAAAAAAAAAAACCGCACAGGCCTCCTTAATCGGCAGATCTTTAATCATAAACACGACAGTCTTTTCAACACTATGGTACATGGCGTCAATATGGTCGCCCCCTGGACGACGACCTCAAAACATTAAAGGCCAGAGCAAGATGCTGTCTTTGAACTGGGGACCCCAACAGATCCACTTGTATCAACAGGGTAGCCTGGAGTTACATCAGCAGAAAACCACAGGAGGGCGGCTTAGGGCTAATAGACCTCAAACAGGAGTCTATAGCCCTAAAGATGAAATGGATCATCCAGATCCTTATCAAGTAACACTTGCCATGGACCAGGATGGCCTTGGACAACATAAGGAATCTAGCACCGATAAGCACCCCTCCCAACATGTCAGGGCTCTTCTGGATAATGGCAAAGGGATAGACGATCAAAACAGGAAGACCACACAGAAGAGCCCAGACCGAGCCACTCACTCAGGCCCCCTTCCACACCAATCCTGTACTAAACCCCCACCTTAAAAGCTTGGCAACACACGATGCCAAGCAAACATGGCGCGCCAGCAAACAAAGAAGAGGCCTTCAAGTTGAGGTAACCTCTCTTTTGTAACCCCTGTATCCAGGATCCGGATGGCTTGCCCTGGTCGCTACAGGCCAAGGATCGGAGATGGTTATCCTGGGTGGAGAAAGCGGTGTGGCGAATAAAGCACATTTGCGCACAAGAGAAGAACGACTGGATCACCGAACAAGAACTGCGCACCAGATTAAAAGGATGCCACTCGCTGGAAACCAACCTAACACAAGTCCAAAGGAAGACTTCTCGTGGAAACGGGGCGACTGGGAATTCCTACATCCCACCGGCCCAATGCTAGAGCTTTTCACTTCATCTCCCGCATCACGACGACTGGGTACAGATCTAAATTCTACACTTATCCCCCCCAGGAAATGGAAATTCTCAACAACGACCCTCAGTTCCGGATCCTAGACTCTTTTCTACCAAGAAAAGTGAGGGTCTCCAAATCCAAACCGTGGAGAGTATTCCAACCAGACCTCAGCATCACAGATCTCGAATTCGACACAAAGGAATGGATCTGGAAGATGAGCAAGTTCGGCAGAACAAGAACAATCTTCGAATACGACGTCAAATATGGATACGATCTAGGCCTACAAACTACAGACCCAGACCCCATACTGAAAGAAAAGTGGAGAGGGATTCTGAACTTGTAACCGAATGAATCCTGTCTATCGTGTGGGCCAAGTACTTGCCCATCAGACCACTGGCGGTTAAAATTTGAAGCATGCAGTGGCTAATAGCACACCCTGCTCTCCCTGTCAACCAGTGGCTCCACAAGAGGAGAGCACACAGACCGCAACAGCTCAGAACTATGTGCTCTGTGCAACGTCAACGCGACGGAAGACATTCCCGGCTGCCTCCTCTACTACGTTGAGGCGGCCTGGATCTGGAACAAAATCCGAATCCTATTGACCCTCCTCTTCTCAGCCCCACCACCCACCATTACCCCCTTGAACATCCTACTCCTATCTAACATCCCCGACGGTCTCAGGGGGGAAAGGAGGTCTGGTTGTACATTCTCAGAATGCTGGCCCTACGGGTCATACGAAAAAGAGATGTGCCGAGGCGATAGAGGGATCGGAGGTGACAAAGGAAAAAATGTGGACCCTTCTGCTAAGGATGGTGGAGACAGAGATTCGATGCAGATGGAGGAGAGTGATAACAGCCACGAAAAGCAAACCACAAAGACTCGCACTCAGGAGACGAGCCTTCACGAGAGACTGGCTGCTACAAGGAAAGATCGCGACAGTCACAGATAACAAGCTGATCTGGAAGAAGTGGTTCATCCCAGCATCTGCAAGGAACACACTCTAGTGAAGGGAAAATTAAGACTATCGTCCCAGAAAGAAGACAACTCTCCCAGTTTTCTTGTTAATCGCAGTCCAGCCGACAGAACCAATAGGGTATCTGAGAGGAAAACTAGGGCAGGGCAAGCTGACAGTCAATCCTCCCAAACAGGAGTAATCAATGCTGGTCAGGGTTCCTTCAGCCAGACAGAAGGAAGCGTGAGAATGTTCACCATGTGTTCCGAGATTCAACTTGCCGGTGGAAAGGAACCGGACTGACGCTCCCCAGAATGGATATGGAGCCAGGACCATAAGGACCTGTTTTAATTATATAAAAAAAAAAAAGTAAAAAAAAAAAAAATTATGTTTTGGCCAAGTGGCCTACCTCAGTTGGTTGAGCATTTAAGTAGTACACAGGAGGCCATGGGTTCAATTTCCCATGTGGTGCATTTGATGCCCCGCAACCTCCTGTGGTGTACTTCGGGTTCATCGGCTGAGACAGATGGCTGGTCCCTGTTGGCTAGGTTGTGGAAGCTCTCGCTGACTTACCAGCCCGCAGGAGGTGTTAGGAGCTTGGGTGCTGCTCCCCGCACAGAGCAGAGTTAGGTAGGTGTAGACCCACCTTAGGATAGTTTAGCTCTGGCGAGTAGATTTAAGGGTGTGGTTGGTCTCCACTACGGGGAGTAGTTGTTTCTCCTAATTGTGGTGATCCGTCATCTGTCTGATATTGTCTGTGAGTAGGGTATAGACATCGGTAGTTAGTGCAAGGTACAGAAAAAAAGTATTGAGACAAGAAAACAGTTTAGTTTAAAAAATACAACTCTCCCCCATAAAAGGAGAAGACAGCTGTATTAAAAAAAAAAAGAAAAAAAAAAAGAAAAGAAAAGAAAAGAAAAAGGTCCATTTCAAACAAGTCAAAGTTCTGGACCCTTCCTGAATGTATGGGACAATAATTGCAGTCACATTCGGTTGGGAAAGTTGTGACATAAGTACGCTCTTTGTTCACTTCAGGATGTGCAGGTGAAGAGAAATAATGTCGGTGTGTGATGTTGTGAAAATCAGTGTTTCAGAAAGTCAGCGGCGGAAGATGCCTAAAAACTAGGAGACTCGGAGAAGGAAGGAGGTAACAAATTTGAAACTAGAAATAAGTACGACCTTGAGGTGGAGGGGGGGTTAGTTTCGTTTTGCAATAGAAAAAGGTTGTTGCAGTCCAGTCACTGGTGAAACTTGAAATTCAGTTTGGTCAGGTAGATCTCCGACGAGTCGCGTCAGTGGCAACATCGTCCAGGGCCTTCTAGGCCCTAGCCAGTCACTTAGAATATCGTTAGACACTCCTCAGGACGTCCTCGGGCTTTGAGGATGAATCCTCGGGGAATTTTGGAATTTTGGCGGTGTCGTTCCACCTATCCTTGGGGAATGGCTCCGAGGACGAATCCTTGGGTACTTCCTATGGCCAATTTTATACAATTATACACGACCCGGCTGTGGTGCGGTTTGGGATGTCCGCTCAAGAGGCATGTTGGTCCAGAGGCGACGGGCGTGAATACATGGGGGGCCGCAAAAAAAAAAAAAAAAGGKGGGAATGTCCCCGTCCAAAATTCGGAATTCGAGTTATGGCGAGGGACGACGGCTAGGCAGCACACATGCATTCCCAGTGCAGCGGTAGGAAGTGGATATGTTGTTTTCCTCGCCATCCCTTTCACACCGTCTCCTTCTCGCCCGGTTGAGTGATGCTGACGCCGCGCAGTGTGTCGTTGAAGGTGTGTCCGGCGAAGAGGTCCGTTGTCAGGTCGGCTGCTGGAGTGACAGCGTGTGGCAGCTTGGAGAGCGAGCTTCGGTGGGCGAAGACCTGTGTTGTGTCATCATCCGTTTCGTCGCCCTGAGGACGCATAAAGTGCAACTGGCGTAGCAAGTGGACGTGGATGCTGAGGACGTGCGTACACGGGGAAGGCAGGCAGGCTTGCGGGTGACCACGTCTTTTCAAAGTCGGTGGGCAATGGAGGGTGGTGGGGGAGATGGGCATGCTGTGTTGACATCCATTGAGAAGATGGCGGTGGTGGCAGCAGTGCTGGCCGTCGTTGCCCGTTGTCAGGTAGACAGAGCGTCCAGCCGCATGAAGGTGAAGCTATCGAGGCGCAGGCAAAGGATGCTGATACAGTGAGTGGTCGACGTCCCAGACTGTGTGGCAACTTCGGGGGCTGCCGTTCAACTGTGCGCTGCCCTGGGCTCTGGTGTGTTCCCTCGAGCGACGCGAAGATGGCGGATGAAACAGAGAACGGGTGGGACATGAGATCTGCGAGACTGCGATGGCGTGACAACCGCCTGCATGCTTCCACGGGAATACTTCGGTGACATGATGAGCCCCCAACCCCTGCAGGCAGTGTGCTGTTCGCCAGCCGTTTGTCTATTCTGCTCGCCTTCTTCAATGACTTCCTCGTCTGGTTCCTCCCAGGAAGTCGCCCCAGGAAACACAAGTGGAACACGACAAGTTCGACAACCACAAAAAAAGCAGCATGGCGAGGAGCAGCAGCAGCGGCAGCCTGCGGTTCAGGTCAGCCATGAACGACACAAGAGAGAGGATAGTGTGGGCACGTACTTTGTGGAATGTGCACACAGTGACGACACACGACAGCCCGAAACACTCCAGAGTACACATTGTCGTCCACATAGCGCCTGCCACCACGAGCACAAATTTGAAATTAGCGACCGTTGGAGACCCCATCGGAATGCCACGGACCCCAAACAAGGCGGATGAAAACGACGACGCGCCCCGCCGCCATCCAACACCAACGTTAAACGGGCCGTTGGAGGACATCCATGACGTTGAAGGCCGACAATGTCTGTCGCCCGACCCTTGGACCACGACTGGACCACCTTCGGCCTCCAATTTTCCTTCTACGCTCGACACCAACACCCAGTGAATCGTGGATCCTTGGGATCCAAAGGACCACGCGAGGTCCCTTGGAGCCGAGGACGATTTGCCTGGGGAATCCTCGGAGCCCGAGGGTTTGTCCTCGGAGTGTTTTCTTGTTTTCTTTTCGAAAATTGGCTTCGAGGACAGGCGGAACGCCGACGAAATCCTTGAAATCGCATCCCCGCGGAGTGTCTAACGATGCCCTTAGCGGGGGGAAAACATTTCCTATGTTCGATCTATCAGATTGAACATCTCAAAATTTTCATGTGGCAAGTGAAGAGGGCCAGGAACTTCTAGGCCCTAGCACTTCTTGCCACACAAAAACAATCATCCCTTCGATCGAACAGCTCAAATTTTTCATGCGGAAAGTAAAGAGGGTCAGGGCCCTCAAGATCAAGTGGCGGAGATTTTCCGTGTGGCAAGTGAAGACGGCCAGGGCCCTCAAGGCCCTGATTCAGAAAAAGAATCTGTCCGTGATTTGGGCCAGATTCAGGCCTGTCCTGCCTCTCATGCCTGGGCCATAGCCGAGATGTCTTGGCCACACCCGATGTTGCATTTTCCTAAAACCTAAGTGACTAGACTGCATTTGAAACTCGACCTGCGACTTACCTTCAAAAACCTGTTTTGACTTAAAATCAAAACTTGGTTTTTGCTGAGTCCGTAGTTACCTCTTGAATCCAAGTGACCAGATAAGACTCCTGCATTGGACAGAGGGTGCTTTCGAGCCCCAAATCATACCTTGAGAGGCCTTTTTTCTTTTTTACAATAACAAGTCAGAGGCGCACCACGGCGATGCCGCGGCAGGCTGGGGGCAGTGTGAGTATGTCCCAGAGGGTCTTAGTGTCAGTATATCATAAGCCTAAGGTAACCAACACACATGAGCAGTCTAATCACAAACCCGTACCTGCATCCTCATTAGACTGCTAACTGTATCAGGCAAACCCCTCACAGGCCAGGACCCAGCATACAACACCATGGACAGTCCCCTGGGTGGTGCGCAGGCAGTGTCTGTAATAGCTTACCATGCGTCAGCCCAAGGGGTGTGTGTCCAGCCATGCGACATTCTAATGCCCTGCTGGTGTCCATGCGTGAGGCTGTGGATTTGAACCCGCAACCTCGTACCACAATGCGCATTTCCGACCGGTGCTCTAACCACTGAGCAACATCAACTGGACACACACTCTGACTATCAGAGTGTGACTATCCTTATGATAGTCAGAGTGTGTGTCCAGTTGATGTAGCGCAGTGGTTAGAGCACCGGTTGGAAATGCGCATTGTGGTACGAGGTTGCGTGTTCAAATCCACAGCCTCACGCATGGACACCAGCAGGGCGTTAGAATGTCGCATGGCTGGACACACACCCCTTGGGCTGACGCATGGTAAGCTATTACAGACACTGCCTGCGCACCACCCAGGGGACTGTCCATGGTGTTGTATGCTGGGTCCTGGCCTGTGAGGGGTTTGCCTGATACAGTTAGCAGTCTAATGAGGATGCAGGTACGGGTTTGTGGTTAGACTGCTCATGTGTGTTGGTTACCTTAGGCTCTGCTTTGGGGGGGGGCAATGACCTAAGGTGGGATGGGGTCCCGTTTGGGGGGAGGGTTGGCTTGGGACATGCTCTGCTGGAGGATATCGGTGGGGAACCTACAGTAGGGGATTGTCTTAAGGGATCCCGGTAGGAGGGGTGTTAGTAGACAGGGATCCTCCAAGGTAGGATGGTCTGTGTCCCATAAATTAGTTGCTGACTGTAGATAGGTACCTGTTGTGAGTCCAGAAACCGACCTCTACAACACCCTGGACTTATATAAGGAAAAAAAGAAAAAAAAAAGAAAAAAAAAAAAGGATAGTCAGAGTGTGAGTGTGCCCTAAGGTGTGTGGTCCCAGGGTGAGTAGGTTGCAAAGGGTCCCAGAAGTCAGTATGCCCGTAACTGCGGACATATACATTGAAAAGAAATCCCGGTGTGAGTATGGACTAAGGAGCTGTCAGATGCAAATGTCGTCCACAGAGACACAGAGAGAGAGAGAGAGAGAGAGAGAGAGAGAGAGAGAGAGAGAGAGAGAGAGAGAGAGAGAGAGAGAGAGAGAGAGAGTTTTCCATCCATAGGATGAGCAAAATGGGAACGAATTTGTCGCTAGAACATGGAAATATACACTGCCACATGTTCGTTCTTTGGCAGTGTATATTTCCATGTTGTGGCAGTGGATACTTCCATGTTCTAGGGGAAGATTCAATCCCATTTGGCTCACTTGATGAAGCGTGGCAATGCCGGTGTGTGTGTTTGTGTGTGTTACATGCTGAGCCTGCACAAGGGCTCTATTCCGGGGACCTGACGGTTGCTGGGGGCCCCCAAGCTGCACGCCTTTGGACATGCGGCCTGGAGGCCAACGGCCGGCCTTAGGGCCGCAGGTTTCGATTTGAGGGAGCATTCATTTATTTATTTATTTGTTTATTCGCTGTCCTATTTTTGTCTGTTCAGGCGTCGTTTCGGACTTGCAGTTCAGTACGTCCAAACAGACCTTGGGTCTGTTCGGACAAGGCCACATTTTTGGCCTGGTACGGACATAGGCAGGCCCTGTTGGGCCAGGTCCACTTTTGTCCGATAGCGGACGCTCTCTGCTGCATCAGCAGGGAGGGCCTGGACGTCCGGTAGGGACCCAGGAAGACCATTTTAGGCCTAGGACCAGAGGCACACCCGCAAGGCCCAGTGCTACTTATAGCTGGGCCACGCCAGGGCAGACACAGTTCGAGTAGCTCACTTCTTGGGCGACATGCTGCTAGAGAAGCGCGACAGCGCTATGCTAGCGGTAGAGGTGTAGGTAGGGAAGGAGGCGGAGGCCATACCTGTGTCGGCGAGTACTCACCTGGGCGCCATTGCTGGTCTTCGCGCCAGCGCCCTGCAGCACAGAGGCACACGGCGACATTCAGTACATGGGGGCAATTACCAGCAGGTGAGGTAGTGAGGAGGACGACATCTTCTTCTCCTTCTTCTCTCGCCCTCCATCTCTCCTCCTTCCTCCTTCCCGCTTTTTCTTCTTCTTCTTCTTCTTCTTCTTCTTCTTCTTCTTTGAGAGAGAGAGAGAGGTTACAGGCAGAAGCCCAGGAGCTGATTCAACATTTTTGTGGCAGACATTGATTGGACATTCGGCAGGGATACTTTTTTTGGACTTCGCTAGCCTCACCTCCATCTTCGTCTGGGGTGTTGCGTCAGTATTCGACAGGTCAGGTCATATCTTTGAGTCTTCTGCTGTGCTACATTGTGCTATTTTCTTATGTATCTGGATGTACATTGCTCGTTGATGCTTTGCTGATGCCGCATTCTCCATTCAAGTCCTTTGCGTCACTTTGTGGATCCTTGGCTCCATATAAATCGCTCAACTGAGCATGCATCGGTGTGTGTGTAGGATGAGCAAAATCAGAATGAATCTTCAGCCAGAAATGGAAACATACACTGCCACCTTCTTTTTTTTTTTTTTCTTTTTTTTTTGTGTGT